AAAAGTGATTTCTCCCATGTATGTCTATATCAGAACGACAAGTCTCTGAAACCTCCGACACATCAGTATAAAAAGATTGCTTGTCTAAGTCTGCCTCGCCCCTTCCTCGGTGTTGCTTCATCTTGTGTGAGAAATACTCCCCGAACTTCCTAGTCATCTATTCCAACTGTTCTAAATACAACGCTGCCTTTTTCATGTCTAACAATACCCCATGTATTGGATAGATCTACTATGCTAATACCTCGTTTACAAGAGGGGCGACTTTCAAATTGGTTTAATTCTGCGCAAAGGTACACTAAAGACTTCCCCCCTTGGCAAAAAAAGAAAACATGCAAAGCAAGTCGTCGCTTGGCAAGGCTTTCAGAGTCCGAGACAGACTATGTTAAAGGTCATACGAACTCTCATCTTGGCAGTCCGGATAATTGCCGTATCTTTCAAATCCCCAATTATTATTGGTGTTCCCACGTACATGCAATCCGTACACGGTCCCCTGTACATACATGTACGAGACAGACGGGAGAGGCGCAGCTTACGGCAAGCTACCGCAGAGAGGTCTGTGTGGTGCGACGGAGGGATCAGTTCTACGCGGATCACTGACTCGTGAGCACTGCAACGGTCCTCTACGACACAGTTGTTGAACAATAACCACCAGTGGGATCTGTTTTCTGTCGGCGACCTTCCCTGGGTGGTCATTGCTTTCAATGCAGTGGATGATTGTTACCGTCTTTACGCAAGCAGCATGATCAGCGAAGGTCCTTTGGTCACCATCGGAGGTGCTGCAACATGTTATCGAATCGCCGGGCAGGAAAACTAGAGATAGATGTGTTTGCTTAGCACCAAAGGGAAAAAAGGACAAGAAGTTTCAGGAGGCTCATGTCGTTGCGGTTCACGCCATCAGAAGAAAGTCAGCGGCCAGCAAAACGCCGCTGGCTTCTCGCACCTTAATGTTCTTACTATTTGCCATTATCGGTATCCTAGGCCTACTACCCCGCTATCCTTAACCGATACTGCGGGTGCGGTGACATCGATTCCGTATGGGGCCCTTGGCGCATCACCCCTTACAACCACATCACTATCGCTTCGATGGTGGAATAATCCTACCTCGCGCATCTAGCAAATACGAGCCTACTTCCCGCAGCTCCCATACCACTTCCGTGCACTCTTCTTGTCCTCTCTTGATTGCTTCTAGCCCAACGTGGTCAACACAATCTCGGCGAATCGCTTCCGGACACCTTGACTACCTGCGCCTACCCGCCCATTGCCATGATCCTGATCTGTTTCGTTATCGCCGTCGGCCAAGCTCTGGATCCGGCGTTGCAATGCTGCTGACTGCAAGCTGCAACTTGGCGTAGCGGCAGTTGCCATACCCGTGAGTTGTAGAAACAATGTTAACTTTGAGCTCCTACTGACAACACAAGACGAGACTGCGAATCTTGATCATCCGTGCTACCTCTTTATGTGATGGGGGCTCTTTTTTATTTTCCTCTAGGAGTGGATTGACATGGTATGAATGAAGAGGATACATGCCTTGCGACGAGTTGAGATGTAGGAAATCAGCTAAAACTAGTGTCGGCCCTTTCGCTGCTCCATTCTCTCGAGCACCTCGCACCTTACCATCTTATGCACCAACCTCTACCGCCTCCCTCTCTGGATGGATCGCCCCATCCAACTCTGCAATGATGTGTGGATCCGTCTCGCCCTCTGCGGCACCAAGATCAATCTCCCGCGCAGGTCTCTTGCTCTTACTCTCCGCAGTCTCCGTCAGATGCGCATCGTCTTCTTGGCTTGATTTCGAGAAAACGAAGTCGCGCACTTCACAGTTCTGATAAGCGGTCATCGTCATCGGATCCTCGACGTCCCAGTCCTCGGTGATGAAGTGTGCGATGGCGCCGTGCGTGACGATGATAATGTGTAATTCAGGGCGTTGAAAGAGCCAGTTACGCACGTCGGCAGAGCGCGCCGAGAGGGCTTTGCGTGTGTAGGCCCAGTATCCCTTCTTGCTGTTCCAGCCATCTGTCACCTGGCTTTGATCGACCTTCGTCCAATCGAACCCGAGATTCTCTCCCTGAAACATATCCTCGATCGCCTTTGTGAGGAGACCGGCGTCGGTGCCGGTATCGCTTCCTGAAGCTGCGACTTCTTGTAATGCCGGATGCAGAATGAAGGGTACCTCTGGCCGAGCAAGGGTTGGGCCGAAACTATATGCTGCAGTCTGGACAGTCCGTCTCAAGGGCGAAGCAACAACTAAATCCACAGTATCATGATGTGGGAATTTGGACGAGAGTGCTGCGCATTGTTGTTTCCCAACGGGGGTGAGAAGCGGGTCGGGAAGTGTGTAGTCCCGCTATCACTAGCTCAACATTCATTCAGCGAGGCAAGTGGGTGAACCATACATAAAGATTGTGATATCCTTCCGCATGACGTACGAGGGATATCTTGGGAGGCATTGTTATAGGCCACGAGGATGATTATGGATATAGGATGAGACGGCGATCGATACGAAAATTGTACACGAAGGATAGAATTAGGGACAGTCTACGTTGAGTGAGACACGTTTCGAACTCGACAGTACTCTGGTGCGAAAATTTCCACAAAAGATGCCTTGCTGCGTTAGTCCGTTCCGAGCATGGCGGCGCGATAATTTCCCTCGTGCACAGCTCGGATTGGCCGTGAGAGACTCGGAGATTTTCGGTTTGAGCCTCAATGTTCTTGAAGTGGTAATCCGGAATGCGCTGATTGACTTCGCTCGGCTAACCTTTCGGTTAGGTCGACCTTACTTGCACGGTCTTGTTAGTAATCATCGTTGCCCTCACTTTCCGGGGCAGAAGAAAGCGACGAGCCAAACGACAACAACGCCGATAGGGGGTTAGACGTATTCTTCTCTTTTCGTGGCCGGGGTCCCTTCCCTGCGGCCATCTCCAACAACTCCATCAACCCCAAGAGCCTCTCCGATGTAGCCTCCATGATCTCTTTGCCCTGCTCTTCCTCTTCTGCGCTGTGCTTCTTGCCTTTGCCGGTGCCGAAGACAGTTTGCCGAGCTTCAATGCCAGATTCAAGCGCCGTTCGCAGCTTGCCGGTGGCTTCGAGAAGGGTTTCGCTGATCATATATAAGAACATTTGCTCCAATATGAGTGAGATCTTGGCGTTGTCAGCGAAGCTCTGAGAGGATGCACGGAGATGAAGAAGATCGGCCTCAAAGTCCCTTTGGATGGGTAGGCGGTGGAAGTAGTTTGGCACTTTAGGGGCTACTAGGAGTAAAAGCATGTTGCCGTGGAGTGCGAGCTGGACATTGTTGGAAAGTTGCGAAGTCGACAAGATGACGCTGAAGATGCTGATGGGCATGTCCTTGACCTTGAGCTGCTCGGTGAAATTGTCACAGAAGTCTTCGGGGGTGGTGAACTGGCTGGGGAGCTCGTAGGCTACTCTTGTGAGGAGGGCGAAGAGACGCTGGCGGAGCTGTACTGCGTCTCGACCACCGAGCTTGTCAACGGCATTTGCGCTTGTGGCGATGGAGCTGTCGTCGGATTCCACAGATGCTTCTCTGGCTGCCGCTGACCGCGGAGCGTCTAGCGTAGCTGTGTCTTCGTCGTCGTTGTAGTCGCCGAGTTGGCCGGACTCGAAGTCGAGTTTCGCAGTAGGGTTGATATTGGTGTCTCGTGGCTTCGGATCCGCAGTCTCGTTCTTCCATATCTCAACATAGTTCCGTCGCGCCGTCTTGTCTGCCGTGGCGAGTATGGCTGCCGCTATCCTTCTCCGCGTACTGCGGCTTGTTGGATTCTCGCTGCTGATGTACCGCCAGATGAGGCTGGCCTGCAGCACATCTTCCCTGTTGACCTCCTCTTCTTTCGCCTCCTTGATGCATGTGTCCCAGTCGGCCTCCAGAAAGTCCAGCATGACGTCGAGCCAGAGCTTCCACCGCGTCCAGCGCTTCTTGTGCGCCACTGAGCAATTCAAGGCCCAGCCCACAATATGCCAGAAGTCATCGGCGAGGTACCAGATGCTCTGCGCGCTGGCTGGCTTCACGGCCAAGTGCTCAATGTCACCGGCGCCGGGCGACGGATTCGCGCTATCGTTTCCGTTCCTAGCGGGCGCGCGCCGCCGTGTACGGTCTTCGGGGAAGGCAAAGGCCTTGCGTATGACTTTGTAGGCCGGGCCTTCTATCGTGTTGCGTACGCATCGGAGGTACTGCAAGGCCGCATCTGCGCCCTTTACCGCGCTCGGCGACGTGGATTTGGTGGTGATGGGCGGGTATGCGACGAGGGAAGACGCGAGGGCGACATGTGCGGCCGGGGCGAGGAGCCCGACATATGGTTTAGCCGGCACCGAGATGGAGGTGCCGGCGGCGAGCAGCGAGTAGAGCAGCCCGTATGCTTTTGTGTATTCTTCGGCTTCCAGGTACGACTTGGCGTGGTTTGCGATGGCCCAACTCGCCGCTTTTGTGGGTCGCGGCTGTTGACGGCGAGGTCTGTTGCCTACGGCATCGAAGGCAGGATTGTGCGCGTCTGCCATGGCCATGACGGCAGGTCAGATTGCGGAGTTGTGGTAATGATTGCGGAGTATTGTAACGCGTCAATCTTTACGCGAGGTCACGCGATGTCTTTAGCGGCTAACATGCATCGATTGATGCGGGCACCGTCTACACATGTATGAGACTACCTTGTCACGAGCAGCAACGTACGATAGGTGTAATTGCAGATATGTTTCTAGGTATCACCATCCAGATGTCGGGTACCAGACCGATAATTGGTCACGTGATGCTATACGCAGACTGCATCCACCAGTTGTCATGTGTGGAATTGCATGTGGGGACTTGATAGCTTGCTACGTGAGTGATTCTGGGTGCTAAGCATGCTAGCATTCTCTGCGTAGTAGAGTCACGCTAGCATCATGTTAGCGTCTTGCTAGTGTCAGCCTCGTTTGTTTGGCAGGAGCAAGGGAGCATTTTTGTGTGCGGATATATATTTTATAAATCTTAAAAAAGACATCAATCACCACAACACTCCGGTATGGTGTATCGGCTAGCATCCGTCGCTTTCATTAGATTCGTCTTATGTCAGCCTCCGACGAGAGCCGGGTTCGACTCCCGGTACCGGAAACAGCCATTTCTTTTTGCAATATTTTTTGCGCACAAATCTGCTCCGTGTGCAGAACGAGTCTTCTTTTTGGAGTTGGAGTTTGGCGTGGTCTGGAAGAAGCGAGGGTACCAACTCTTGCATCCATTTTTGCACACTGGATCAGCCGCGGACCATTTTCGTTCACTCCGCAACTCCCTCCAAGTCTTTGGTAATAAATTGCGGCAGCGGAGGGAAGCGGGCAAACCACGGCGGAGCACACCACCATAAAAGAAATGCCAACACTACCTCCCAAGGCAACGTTCGCAAGGAATCTGCTCTCCTACGGCTACCATGCCGAACCCCAAGATTCTCATCGTCGGTTGTGGCGCGGTCGGTCTTACCCAAGGCTATATCCTCTCTGCTGGCGCCAACATCACATACCTTGTGCGACCAGGACGAGCTCCGGCTTTTACAGCGCCAAAGAAGCTATACCAATACAAAACCAACACACTGCACACATTTGAAAATTACCGTGTTGTCGAGTCGGTCTCCGAGCTCGCTGACGAGGTATTCTACTGTGTCTTCGACACCTTGGATGGACACACGGCGCGCTCAGAGGGCGGCATCGCCACCCTACGAAGCGTGGGTGACCTGATCCGCAGCCATGCCGAAACCTTTGTCATATACGACGCGATCGGCATCGATATAGAGCAACACTACGCAGAGACAATGGGAATCTCCCAGGACCGCTTCGTTTTCGCCGCCAGCATGCTTGCCCATCAACCTACGCCCTCGATTCCAGTGCCAAACACGTCAGACAAAGACTTGGTCAGCCAGGCAGATATGCTGTACTCGCCCCTTTCCACCAATACGGGTATTACGGTGATGAACAAACGACCTGCACTTACCAAAATGGTCGAGGACGTGTATATCAAGAATGGGGTGGTTACAATGCAGAAAATACCTGCACTTTTAGAGTCACTTATGCCGTTATCAATTGTGCAGTTGGTGGTGTGGAAGATTGAGGGATGGCATGAGTTGTCTTCTTTCCGAACGAACACAGAGCTCTGGAATCTGGTGCTGCGTGCGCAGAGCGAGACACTCACGTTGCCGAGATTTGGATGGAAAGGTTGGGTATTTTCGTGGATCCTTGGGAGTTGGACTACGGCGAAGATGCTAGGCGCTGTCGCCGAAGCTTGTCTGCCGCTGCAGGTCCACGTGTTCAACGAGTATCACCATGGTTGGAAGGTAATCCAGCAGGATATTCTGCTGCTGGAACAACTGGTCTCCGAGGGAGAGAAGGCAAAGAAGAAAATGCCTGCACTGCGGGAAGTGATTCGGAGGGCGAGCGAGTTGCCGGGAGGCAAGTAACAGGAGACGTGGGGAGTGAGGGTTGGAGTGGAATGGTACATGTATTCTTTACAATAATACAAAAGTGTAAGATTTCGGGGCTTTACACGCCGTATCTAAACTCTCGCACCTTCTTTTGGTAGTACCATGTCGCGAGAGCACCCGTTGCGCCGAGCGCAAGCGGGACTGGAGCTCGTCCGCCAGTTTTTATTATACGAGGAACGGCGGACCCCAGTAAGACTGTGCTGCTACCCAGTGCCAATTCGGCGCCGTAGTCTTTATTCTCTTTGATCAGATAACCTGCTGTCGTCAGCCAGTCCGCCATCATCGACTCCGAGATCAATGCGCACCCGAATAGCCATATGACGAGCCGAGCACCAGACCTGCTACGAGCGAGGGTGTGGACCGCGTGCGCAGATAGCCTGCTACGCCTCCGACAGACACTAGAGAAGATTAGGGCCAACGTTAAAAGAATTGGCGTGGAAAGGCTTACAGAGACCGGCAAGCGTAAACGAGGGATGTTCAGCCATTATTGTGTTTGATGAATTGATGAAGTTCTTGCGTAAGATCCGGGTTCGACGAAGTCATCAGGAGGGACTAGCCTGTTCCATAATAGCGTCCTCGGAAGGAGAAGCCGGAGGCAACAGCGAAACGTGACAACAATAATGCACAGTTTTAATCTATTCGGAGTATTCAGAACGATGGGCGAAGGTTCGAGAAGGAACTGGTTGATTCATGATGGTTCATGATGGTTCATGATGATTCATATCTGGGCTCAGTGTAACAGAACTGTAAGCGCGTAAGAACTCGGCTGAAACCATCCCCTCATAGACTTTCCTCTTCTCCTTTCGAATCAATATACGCGCCCAAAGTGCTATGAAGATCACTCCATTCAACATCTCTATTCCCCAGGACGATATCGATGCCCTCCGCACTCGTCTAGCGAACACCCGTTGGGCCCCTGAAGCCAACAATGAAGACTGGTCACTGGGAGTTAACGGTACCTACCTGCGCCAGCTCATGGAATACTGGCAGAAAGATTTCGACTGGCGTACCCAAGAAGCACGCATCAACACTTTCCCACAATTCCGCACAGAGATCGACGAGATACCCATCCACTTCATCCACGTACGCGGCAAAGGACCCAATCCGACTCCTATCATCTTGAACCATGGATGGCCGTGGTCATTCTGGGACTTCAGAGACGTTATTCTGCGACTGGCGGATCCTGTTAGTTATGGGGGCAAGGCCGAAGACGCTTTCGATGTCGTCGTGCCTTCGTTGCCGGGGTTCACGTTCTCTGGGCCGCTAGCCCGGAATGACATTGGTTACAAAGAAACTGCTGATCTATGGGTGAAGCTCATGAAAGGGTTAGGATATGAGCGCTTCGTCACTCATGGTGGTGATGCGGGGGCTTTTGTGAGTGCGCGCCTTGGGCATGTATACCCCGAATCCATCATTGCCGTGCATCTCTCGTTTCCAATCCTTCCAGGCGTTCCGCACTCCGCCGGCGACCCCAAGGACTTCACGCCAGAGGAGAAGGACATGAAAGAACAAGACCCACGCCCTGAGTCGTTCTTCCACGTCTTAATTCACACCCTCGACCCTCAAACCCTCGCGTGGGCCATGCACGACTCCCCCGTGGGGCTCGCTGCGTGGATCCTTCTGCGTCGTCGTGCATGGAGCGACTGCAACGGAGATGTTGAGACCAAGTTCGACAAAGACACGCTACTCACCTATCTCTCGCTGTACTGGTTCACAAACTGTTTCGTCGGCACAGAGTTATTTTGTCGGGCCTCCAATTTCCCCCAAACTATGGATTTGGTGAATGACATTAAGCCTGAGATAAGCGTCCCTACGGCTGTTGCTGTGATGCCAAAGGATTGTTTGCATAGGCCGAAGAGGATCGTCGAGAGGTATGCGAATTTGAGGCAGTGGACGGTATTTCCCAGTGGAGGGCATTTTGGAGCGGCGGAAGAACCAGAGAGAATGGCGGAGGATATCAAGGGATTTCTGCGGTCTTTACGGGAGACTGATAATAGTGGGTAAGGAACTGGTGAAGTGATAGAGATACTAGGAAGACAAATTTCATGGTGCAATTTGCTTTCATATTTCGTAAACCTGACTGCACAAAAGAAATGTGATATAGTTGATTACATGTTCTTTCCGACGTTGAGCTTGACATTCTATATCGTCTGTCTGTTTATCTATTATTCTACTTTTTGTCTACTGAGAGCCTGGGGAAGGGAGATAGAGATGAACTAAAGTCGTTTATTCGTGCGACTGCCTTTTGAGAAATTGTCTGCACTACACGGTAGAGATATACAGTATTTTCACTATTTTTGACTAGTGTAGTAAGGTAGAGACAGATAAGGCGAGCGATTTCGAGACACTAAATCGTGTTCCTGTTATATCCAGATTCAGATTGTGTTATACATATTCAGTTAGATGAAAAGACTGATTTGTTGAAACTTTTCTGCGATGCCGAATGGGAGGGACAAGCTACCGAAGGTTTTAATGGTCGTTAAACGTGCCAGAAGCAATAAGCCTTAGTCGCATAAATGTTATATGTGAATTCTCGGCGTTAGCAGTGTTTTGATCTTTGCGCACTAATTATATGACGTTTATCGCAAGATGTATCTGGACTGTGTGGAGCCAACAGCGTATGCGAGTGCCGTGAACGAGTGCTGGCAGCGTGCTCGTTGTAGAAGAGGGTATGGAGACATCACTGCCAGACACGATAACTACTGAGAGATCAAAGTATTGTGTGTGGCTAGGTTAGACGAGGTTGCAGGTGGAACGTAATTGCGAGAGTGCCGTGATCGAAGATAAAGTTGAAATTGGGAAGGTCAAGTTAAGTGAAGACAGCGGTATGGGTGTCAAAAGGTCACAGGGTGTTTCCAAGTGGCTCCCGCTGAACGAAGGAAATAAGCATCATACTTTTCGGCTGAAGAAGCTCGTCGAAGCGCGACCTTTCAGTACCTACTACGCAAAAACCTCAATCTCTTTGGAAACCTCAACGCATGCGACTTCCACGCCCTCGATGACTTCCATAGACTCAAACTCAGCTTGCATTCGCTCATCTTCCCACGTAGGATAATCAGTGTACCCAACATGTCGAATTTTGAACGGTCCGTAAAATGTGCTTCTGTCGTAATTTGCCAAAGGTCTTCCCGTTCTCAATCGCTCCACCAAATCTGGATTACTGACGAAATAACGCCCGATTAGTAACGCGTCGCAGTCGTTCGTTTCAAGCACGCCCCAGCAATTTGTATCGTTCCAACCGCCGGCAGTGAAAAACGGTGTGTCGCCCATTATGTGGCGGAGAAATTTGAGATTGATGTTGGAAGGGTCATGGCCCCAGGAGCGGATGAAGTCGTCTTTCTCCGACATAGAATGGATCTGCTCGTAACGCTGACCACTGACTCAATATATAAGCCTGGATTTGAGAAGCTTCACTCACCGGCTCAATCATAGATATGTAGGACATATCCGGAACTTTCTTCTTCAGCTGCTCGCACAGATGACTCCAAGTCTCGACCCTCTGTTCTCCCCTTGTTTGATTGAACAAACCGAAAGGACTGAGCCTGATTGCACAATTGCTACCACCCACGCTCCGCGCGAGCCCTTCCATGAGCTCAATCACGAAGCGGCATCTCTTTTCAAGGCTGCCACCATACTCGTCGGTCCG